ACTTCAGCTGTCTGCCTTCATCTGTTCAGTGGTAGCAGACCTGAGCCTTCTGGCTTTGAGGGCTCAGCATTGATTCTGCCTGGAAGTGACCCAGTCTTCAGTGGCCCATCCCTTCCAGTTCTTGTGAGCACTTGTGGTTCTCCTTCTGGTCTTTTGCATGTGCAAGTATTAGGACCACACCTGGGACTTCCTTAGCTTCATCTGTTGCCACTAGCCGTTCCTCCCAAATCTTTCTCTTCTGTTTTTAGTGTTGGTCTGTTGCTATACCCTCCTTTACTGAGATTCCTGGCTTCCTTTTCTTACACCCAGTTTAAAAAACGGCCAGTGCTTCTTGTATTCCAGTGAATCCCACTTTCCTTCATAGACATTACATACATGCAGTGATCGTTTAACCTCTCACTGGCGTGCAGCTTTTTTTTTTTTTTAATTAAAGTCATGCTTGTCTACAGAACAGTGCTTAGAAATCATGCAGTTTACTGTATCTGGTTGTTGGGGGGGGTGGGGGTGGTGGTTTTCTTTCACCCTTCCATCCTCTGTCCCTCTGTCTGCAGTAGAGTTTCTGCCGCTACATGTGGATTAACAATTTAGGTTTTGTTTTACTCCTCCAAAAAACATTGCTAATCAAACATCTTAAATGTTAAATGAGATTTTGGCATGTATGCAAATAGTCTAGAGGGAAAACCTAAGAACACTACAGCCTGCGTTTCAAAAGGATGGTGTTGATGGGCAATACCTGTGTTGGGTGAGGACAGGGAATATTGTCAGACCAGTGTGGCTATACAGTCTGCTGAAGACTGTAATCCTTGCTTTACCTCTTTAATTTCTCCAATTTTCAGCAAGTGCCAATCAGGGAATTATTTTTAGATGCAGTTCTTTCCTGTGGCAGCTCTGCTAGGAAGGGGCTTGTTCAGCTGTGTAGATGCAGGTATAAATCAAAAAGAGCTTCTGGATCCTTTCATTGAACAGTTGTTATCCACAGTACACATGCAAGTATGGGGTTTGTTTGTGGGGTTTGGGTCATACCATACACACTTACGTGAAACTTTGTGGCTTGCTTGTCCATTAAGGACAGAAGTTCAGCGTCATGATTTAAGTGTGAACCCGTACAAAAAGCTTGTCGCTGTGATCTGACACACAGTGTAACTGATCTCTGACACAGCAGTTCCGTGGTGTGTTAGCAGTACAAGTTGTTGGACGTGCAGTTGCATTCATTTCAGTATACTGAATTATGAATGAAAAGATGTAACTTCTAAATCATAAATCGCGTTGCAGACAGTTTTCAAAAGAGAGACCCTATGCTTGGTGAAGTTACAGATTCGCAAAGTAACTACTGGATCACGTCTTATCCTATGTAGTGGTTTAAATTTTGATCTCTGAAACAAGCATTGCCCTAGGGAGATGCAGTTCTTGGGATCATTGTCAATGTGTGAAAGAGGGAAATTAGCTTTAGAAATGTCTTCTGTAGGAGATGGGCTCAATCCAGTTCAGATCAATAGTAAGGCTTATTCTTCTTCAGCTGGCATTGGGCACAACCTGTCCTTCGCTGCTAAGCAGAGCTAAAGCACAAGAGTAATTTAAAGGATATGCATATCAATTTAATAAATATATGTGTGCTTAATTGGTGTTTTTTTTCTGAACCAGGGTCTTAATTCTGTTGAGATTTGCTGTCAGGCAGTAAGAAATAGTATATTAAAGACTGACTATATTTAAGCTTGTATGTTACTCCATTAATAAGCTGATTATATTGTTGCCTTTTGCCTGCTAATAAATATGGCTTTTGTAAGTAAGTTCATTTTCTTGTAATTGGGATCGGTCTTGGCAGAAGTTCTCTTGTTGTTTCGTAGTGCATTGAATCAAGAACAAGAGATCAGCAGAGGTTCCGTGGCACCCTGACAGCAGTATCAGCAAATGGGACGTTTGTTCTTCTAGTCTTTTCTGGTGCTGCTGGGGAATACAAACAGCAGGTTGTTATCATGGTATCATCTTCGATTTCAGACTTCTACATATGGGTATCTGTGTCTCTGCTTGCAGGCATGCAAAATCAAGTGCCCCTTTGGTTTTATGGGTAAAAAGTGAAAGGGTTACGAGTGTCAGATCTCAAAGGGGTTTCCCTCCAAGTCACGGTACTGATTTAGCTTCACAGATCCACACAGCTAGTGCAATGCTTTGCCTTGGATGCGTTGCCTCGGAAAGCTTACTGGCTGTTGTAAAACGGAGCTTCTCTACCCACAGCTGCAGTGAGAGATGACTCCAGCCTTTGCAGCATTGTTTTCAGGCATTTGACAGTGCTATCATCCGTGTAGGAGACAAAACTTCTCTTTGATGGCCCGTTTGTTTGCCATTCAGTGGTCTCAGGAGCTTCATAAACATTCAGCAGTTGAGCCTTTCTGTGGTCCAGCTGGTACTTTAGTCCTCTTTTGCAGGAATAAAAGCTAAGCCACTGAGGCTTAAAAAATGATGCAGACTTGTAGCCTAGACAATCTGGAGATTAAAAATAAAAAGTGAATTCAGGTACTATGCTCACTGTACAGATGCTGTTTTAATTTTGGTGGTTTGAACAACCATAATTAGATATTTTAAAATAACCTTTTCCCATCTCCTCTGGCTGTGGGGAAAACGGATGCAAAATAAGCGAGGCAAGGGTGGGCACGAGGGAGGTGTACGTGCAGCCTCCCTGGGCTCTCTGGTTTAGTTTAACTTTTAATCCAAGTTCAGCTCTTGAGGCTTGATCTGCGAAATGGCTTTGGGGCCAGAGGCCAGCCTGGTGCATCCACTCCCCGTCCTCCTTGTGGTCAGTTGTAGGTGTCTGAGCTGACAGAACCAATGTGTGGAGGCAGAGATAAAGACTGCTTACGTCCCTAAAATCCTTCTATAATTTGGCCTTACTTGCCTCAAGAAAGGCTACACGAGTGCAGTGCCCCGGTGATGCTGGGAACTCATTCCTTTTCTTTCATGGATGTGAGTGTGGCTCTTCCTTTTAAAACATGGAGCAGCAGAAATGGGTGGCAAGCCTTTTATGTTTGCTAGCACAGGTTGCTCGCAAAGGAAAAGATCGACGTTCATTTGCCGCCTCCATCTCATTCCTTCTAGATTTGTGGGTTCTGTTTCCAGGCTCTAGCTCTGCTTTTCTGTCCTGACAAACCTTAAAAAGTCCTTGCTGTGCAGCACCAGCAGAAGGAGCAAGTGCCCATCAACATGGATGAGGTGCCGCACCCACAAGTGTGTTAAAAAACAAAAAAGGGTACCATGACCAGTGTTTCTACAGAAGGCAGCGGCTACCACCCCATTTTGCAAGAGGCCTGATCCTGTCTATACGTTTAACATATGTCTTGAAAGCTCCTGTTGGGTTGATCCACTTGGGGAGCATGGAGGAACGCTTAATGTCTTGGTCCTGATTGGATTGAAGTTAATGCTGACTTGCTAAGTCTTGTTATTAGTTTTGTAATATCTGATAGCTTTGAGTATGAGCAGTTGTTAGCGTCCTGGTAAGCTTTAAAGAAGAAAGGTTGGAGATTGGGTCGCTTTCAGGTTCAGGGATGGCAAAGTGAACGTTTTCTCTTTTGGCATAAGCAGCTTACTCTGCTCGAGTCTCAGACTGGGTGCCTGAGTATATTAATGGACCTTGCCACGCTGATCATGTCAGATCCTCCAGCTTGCTTAAATAAATCCTGCCTATTTGTCATCAGAAGAGTGTGTAACTGTTTTCACTTGCAAAACAACTGATTATGTACCCATAGAGCATCCTCCTCTGGCCCCAATTAGAGGCTGATGCCTATGTGACTTGATGTATTTTGTGAGTGAAGGCTTGTTAACTGTGCGTGTAAATGTGTAATTGTCTGTACAGTTATCCCATTGATTTATTTTTTTTTTAGCTTTGCCTACAAATATGGGAGCACAGTCATGCAGTTGGGCAAATTTTCCAAAACCAGATGCTTAAATCTGTGTATTGAGCATACAGATGTGAATACCATTAAAAAGATTGGTCCAGTTGTGTTAACTTCCTCTTTTCTTTTGGTATGTGGATGTGCTAATCTGAATGTGTTCGAGTTTGTCACGTACCATAGTTTCTGTGTTACCTTTGTCCTTTTTGCTACTGAATACAGTGTTTCATTGGTGTGGGAAATGGCAGTTACCACAGAAATTGTTCAAAGGATGCTGAATGTATGCGCTGGCTTTTAGTGGAGTTGTACCTTGTGCTTAGAGTGGTTGGTGCTATAATGCCTTTAAAATGGTTCTATTCCGTATAAAATATTAATTTGAAATGTGGGGGATTTTTAGAGGAAAGCTTACTTAAATAATGGGAGCTGTTGGCAGTTGCAGTCCAGTGCAACTTCTGAGAAGCAAAAAATGTGTTTAAATTTGCAAATAACCATATGCTTGAAGTTTTCTGTGCACTTGGTGGTTTCTCTTTGGAAGCTGCTGATTTGCAAAGAATGAGTGATCTGGCAGTTTTGACCTTGCAATTCTTGTTTGATGCAGTGAATAAAACCCCAAATGCCTCATGTTTGGGCTATGCAGTGTTTGTTTACTGTGAAAGAAAACACAGTAATACTGCTTTTCTTTATAACGTGTCCTTTTATGTAGAATTAAACACTACATTCAGGCTTTTTGAGGTGGCTTTAAAAGAAGTATGTAGGAAGGTAGTTTCAATAACATGCGAAAAGTTCCTGAATAGTGGTAGAGCTGTGCCACAGATGTGTAATGTGATTAACGCCTTCAGCTGGCCAAGAGTAGTCTGTTCTTATTCACAGACCCACAGAATGGATTGGGTTGGAAGGGACATTCAAAGATCATCTAGTCCGCCCCCCCCTGCCACGGCAGGGACATCTTTCATTAGATCAGGTTGCTCAAAGCCCTGTCCAACCTGACCTTGAAAACTTCCAAGAGGCTTTACCTCCCAAGCTCATGGCTTGGGCAGGGGTGTGAGGGGCATCAGGGTCGGAGGTGCTGTTTTACTCTGAGTGACAACCACTAACACCCTTTCCTCTATTTCTCTGCAGATGTCGCTCCTATGAGGATTGCTGTGGTTCAAGATGCTGTGTAAGAGCTCTCTCTATCCAGCGACTATGGTATTTTTGGTAGGTCAGAGCCTTCGGCAGTTTTGTTTGTCCTGTTCTTGTCTCGTTTGTAGGACTCCAATCAGGGTATTACCAGCCCTAGTATGTTAAAGTAAAGTAGGTGCTTTATTCAGTAATGTCTATGTGTACGCATAAATGCAAGGACTTAGGGTTTTTGCTTATAAAATTCTCCCGAAGTAGTAAGAAAACACTGGAAAAGGAGGTTACTTGTGTCTGGTTGACTTTTCCTGCTTCTGCATCCTGCTGGTCTGTACAGGCAGCAGTTCCACTTTTATCCAAAATTGCTGAATTCCTTATGCCTGCCCCAGCTGCTACCAAGCAGCGGTGTTTGTCCAGTTCTCTTGGGCACTCAGTTTTGAAAGACTGTATAAGGAGGATTGTGCGTTTAGGCAGGGTTTAAGACATTCTTGCCAGCCGAACCGAGGCTTCAATTAAAAAGGAAGAGAAGTACATTTATGACTGAGGATTTCACTGGAGATGACAGCAAGGGAAAAGAAAGCAGAAAGATTGGAGTTCGTGAAACCAGCAGCTCAGTAATCTGGATAAAGCTTAAACTAATCACTGTTATATGCATAATGAAAAAATAAGGTAAATTCTTTTTGGAGAGGAATTTAAGAAAGCACCTGAATAAAACCTTCTCATTAAAGTAGAGAGACAGCAAAAGCTCCCCTAGAAAACCTGATTTCAGGCATTTTTATGTAGAATTTGAAGACTGCTTAAAAAAAAGCCTTCAAAATTGAAACAAATAAACACTGAAAAGCAGAAGCCTGATATATACAGTAATACAGAGATTTCCTGAAGCTGACTGTGGGATTTCAGTGTACAATCCTCACTGATATAACTGAAGAGCTCTGCATCTCAATCCCTGGGGTGACGTCGTAAATCTCTGTTTTTCTGTTCAGAACAAATCCTTTGCAGGAACGCTGCCAAAAGGGCACGTATTAATATTGGCTCAGGGAAACAGGACCTTCTTCTGCTCTCATTTCCACTGTAGAAACGAGAACAGAATTTGACCCTTTGCATGAAATACCTTTCACTGCCATGAAATACCTCTTGCTGCCATGCAGTGTCACACTGTTCTTGGGCACCGGGGAATGCTCCAGAGGAGATGAGCGTGGTATGCAGCCTTGCCTCTGGCCCCTGTCCCAACTTCAGTGGCCTCCAGCCAACTTCCGTCCCTTCCAAAAGAGCACAGTTGTCATTGTCTTCCAGTAAAGGGCCCTGAAGTAAGGTGGCAATTAATGGCAGAAGAACCACTTGGGTTTACAGGAGCTTGCATCAGTCAATAGCATGTATGATAACAAATCAAGGAAACCCAGTGAAAGCCACCATTTGAGGAACAAAATCTTCTGACGTGCTCTTACTGCATGTGCCTGTTTCCACAGCACCAGGGCAAGGGAATGATGAGGACAGTTTAGTCAGGTCAGAAAAGGAGCTGAGAAGAACTGAAGCAAAATTATGTGCTTTTTCTTGAGAACGCATATCCTGTCTAGGAAGCACAAAGCAAAGCTCATATTCAGTGCTGAATGCTTCAGTCTTCTGTCTTGAGCTTAAATGCCAGCTACCATATTTCCCATGGGAGACAAAATTACAGTGTTGAGTAATTTAAGAACATCTAATAATCTTTTAAGGGCAACTGTGGAATAGTAGTCCTCTTTGTACAGCCAGTCTCCCACAAACCTCCTGGCCAGTCTCAATGCAGTAAAAGCGAGGCTTGTGTCCAAGAGATGCAGTTTAATACTGTACAGACCTGGAATTTCATTTCAGCATCCTGGTGGAAAAGGTCAGGTATGAACCTGGGCTTTCCAAATGTTCAAGGGCATTTTAGTTTCAGATTTGTATTTTACATGCAGGAAAACATCAGCGAATATTACAAATTGCTAAAGAAGTCAGTCTTATATCCATAAGTGCCATCCATATGGCTATCTCAAATGACATAGGCCTGCTCTCAAGTGACAATCTGTTTAAGAAACCCAGATAAAACTCATAGGCTGATGATTACTAGATGGTACTTTGGTTCTGTCAGTGAAGAGTCTGGGTTTGAGAGCTGCCTGAATGTGGGTGGGTTTTGACTCCCCTCTTCTCTTTGCCTAGGTTCCTTTTGATGATGGGAGTTTTGTTCTGTTGCGGAGCTGGTTTCTTTATCCGAAGGCGGATGTACCCTCCTCCACTAGTAGAAGAACCTACTTTTAATGTGTCTTATACCAGACAACCGGTCAACACTGCATCAGGTCAGAGACTGCTCATTAAACAAGTTTCACTAGTTTCTTACACTTGCCAAGGCATTTAAAAAGGGTGGGTTTGCGCTGTTGGTTTGGTTGGTTTTTGGAAACTGGGATTTGGACAAGGAATTGCACTGCACTAAACCATGCAGCCACCTCCTGCGATGAGTGGAGTCTTCTGCCTTCCAAATGACGTAATTCAGCCACAGCAGTGTTTTTGAAACCCAGGGTGACAGGACTTTCAGTTCCTTTCCGTTGTGGTTCCTAAGACCTTTACAGCTGTGTGTCCACGCATGGAGGGAGGATAGCAAGTTTTCACTTTGCAGTGTAGACAAAATGATAGGTATCCAAATTGAAGAGGGACACAAAGGAAGAGTTTTAAATACAGTTGATAACATTGGGCAAAGGTGAAGGAAAGCCTAACCTTTTTCTTCCACGGTCTAGCTATCTTGTAAGTCTTCTCTTTTTGATTTGCCTTCCATGTGCTGGGTTACAATTTTTCTGCAGCGGTGGTCCTTCTCCCCTCATCAGTCTGATTGCTCGCTGGTCAGCAATGGCTGTGAGCATCAGGAGGATCTACCTAGTGATGGCTTCTCTGGCAATACTGCTTCCTGAGTTTCCTATTTCTTCCCCTCTGGCTGTTACATAGACCTAGTTGGGAGAATCCAGCAAAATAAGAGTCACCTGTAAGCAGAAGATGTTGGTGCCTTATTGGGAGCATTTTGAATCCAGCTGTCTCTTGCTGGAAGACCTTCCCCAGTGCTGAGATTATACCTGAGTGTACACTCAGGTGCTTGCCTCAGCAAGGCCAAACAGACATTTTTAACCACTCTCCAGATTGCATAAGCCAGTGCTAACTTGTGCTGGCGAAACCACACATACACACGCATGCAGGCACTGACACTTTTCCTCCCAGGCTGTGATTTTGCTTCACATTGTGTTAGAGAGCTCTGAAGCCAGAGGATAATTACCTTTTCTGACAACTTTTTTGGAATTGGCGATTTTTATTTGTTTCATGCTAGCTTGGAAGTGGAAATACAACGGAATGTTTTATATTGTGAAGGGGGATCTCTCTGAAAATTTGCTGCCTCAAACCTCTTTATCAAAAATCATCTTCTGAACCATTACATCTTTGTAATATTGTGGCTGCATCAAGACAGCCTCCTTAGAGAAGTGTCCTAAACCCCTTTCTAGCTAGCTGTCACTGCAAGCATTGTGCAGAGATGTGGCATTCAGGCTCTCTCCCCTGTCACGCCAGATATTGCACATCCGCGCGCCTTGTGCAGACTTCGGAAATCCTCTTTCTTCCATCCTTAAGCGTGTACCCATGGACATGCGTTCCTCCCCTCTCTCTCACAGGTCTAAATGGACAAAAAGATGTTACAGACACTAACATTTTATTCACCCTCTTTTTGAAAAAAAAATTGTAAGAGGGTTTTTAGGGCTTCCATTCTGCATCTGTTTTTCTGCTTGACTAAACAAATATTTCCACAGAGAGTATTTATTGGGAGGGAGCCAAACTAACTAAACTATATTTTTAAGCCTGAAAAATAACCTCAAGATTATGTGAACAGGGAGCTTCTTTGGTTGGATTGGCAAATACTGGATTTAATTTTAGAGCACAGTTTTAGCTTTTCATGGAACGCAAATTGTGGGCAGATATAAAATAAGCACAAACCCTTTGGTGACCTGCTTTATGCCACCTGCTTCCGGACTGTTATTACTGTTTCTTAAAGCTTTGGGCTCTGACCTGACCCAACCATTTTATTTTTTTTCTGCTATTCTAGGAATATTCAATAGCAAAAGCAACAGGAATTAGTAGTCAGCCAGGTTCTCATTTTCCTCTAGCTTTCCAGATTTGGTAGTGGCAGCCAGCTCACAGTTGAGGTGGAGCCCTTGAAATGTGGCTCTTTTCCCACCTCCTTCCTTCCCTGTAGAGATAACGGCAGCATCTTCTGCCATCCCAGCAGCAGCCTGAGAGTGGGAGTGCTTTTTCTGTGGGCCTGACTGGGAAAATGGATTGAACACCTCACCTACAAGCAGCAGTTTGCAGACCTGGTGGCATCTTTCACTTTAAGTCTGACCTACATAGCCCCAGGCTGTCAGTTCTGGTGCTAGAAAAAGTCGGGTCCCTTTGTAGATGCTTAACAAATACTTACTGAGCTTATCCCACACGGAAGTTGATATTCAGATGTTGTTTTCTGCTGGGTTTAATGAACTGAAAAAATGTCTCAAAAGATTGGTGTCCACACTTCCCCCTGTTCCCCCCCCAGTTCAGTAATAATACACGGAAATTTTAATGAAAATAGTTATTGTCCTAAAGATCAAGCTGCAGTGAGCTGCTTCAACCTCTCCTGTTTCCCCATGGGGATGGAAACTGCAGAAGTGCAGAGCTGGGCAGGATTTAACTTTAAAACAAAAATGCTTAAGAAAAAGGCTACAGACAGGGGTATTAGAAACTTCGGAGAGGTAGGACTCTGCTCCTGTTCCCAGCCTGGCTCTCCGTCGGCCACGTGCCGATGCTATAGATGGAAGCAGAACAAGGGCTTCTTGTCACAGCAGCAAAGGAAGAGGGGCTGCGGAACAGTCCTCTTCACTCAGACAGGCAAAAGGAAAGTGTATTGTGGTGGTATGTTAAAAATTACTGTGTTAAGAAGGAACTAGCTGTGTTCCCAATCTGCTTTCCACCCTCTTTGCCCCCAAACAAAGCTCCCTAGGCAGACACCCCAGGCTCTGGGACAGTTCACATCCCTGTGCCTTATGGCTTGACCCATCTGATTTAATATTGTAAGGACACGTTTTTGGGTTTGGTATGTGGCTCCTTCCTGAATGCTCAAAGAACTAAAGGATGCTTAAATCTTCAAGAACCCTGTATTCCTTCTGTGGCAATACTGAGTCCTAGTGTCACAGAAAGGAATGATTGAGTGGAAAATCCCTGAGAAGCTGCGTTATTATAGGAAAAACAGGCTAGCACCAAAAGAAGAAAACCTGTTGCTCAGCCGTGATGATTTTTTTTTTTCAGTCCAGTCTTATTTAGAGACAGAGAGAAAAAACAGAAATCTAATTTACATATTCCACTATAGGCAGTCTGTGACTTTAATTGCTGGAATTGCATTAAGTCGTCTTCTACCCCCCACTGTGGTATCTGAGGCAGGCAACACACCACCTTTGTTGTTCCTCATGGCAGCAGTCTCTGTTACTCCTCGTGTGTCACAGCTAAGGAATTCTGCGTTTGATCGTGTATTTCCTTTCCTTGTCCCTGCGGGCTCCAACATCACTTCCTAAATTTAATCTGTGCGAAGCAATCTTGTCCCATTGTGTTAGCCAGCCATAATTGGCTTCAACTTGGGTTTTTGCTTCAAACATGTTTACTCCTTAGCTGTATCTTGCCTTGAAGGGAAAGCATGTATTTGAGATGCGTTCTGGCGTACACGCGCATCCAGTACACCACAAAATAACTTGTGAAGTCCTTTTGTAAGACTTGACACCCGAGTCAGGGCTGCAGTGGAAACCCCTTTCTCCATCTGGGATCCCATGCCTCTCCTTTCTGCAGGTAGATTTTCTGTCCGGGGCAGGACTCACTGTTTTCCCTTTCAGATGGTACTCAGCTGGGGCAGTGATGCCCTTTCTTTCACTAAATAATTTCCATTGCATGCAAAACCTAAACCTTTTTGGTGAAATCCCAAGAAGCGAATGTGGTCCCGCAAGCCTGGGTTTTCTCTGGATTGGGGAGAAGGGTCGTTCCTTGTCTTTGCTCTGATGAATGCTTTAAGAAAACTTGTCTGAGTGTGCAGAGCACAGCCGCTGCCTGATTCCACTGCTGTTGTTGATGCCTTTTCTCTCCTTTTCTTTCTTTCAGGGTCACAACAACCTGGAGTGCCGTATTACACAGATCCAGGTGGACCTGTGATGAATCCCATGGCTATGGCTTTCCACGTCCAGCCCAATTCCCCACAAGGAAACCCAGTTTATCCACCCCCACCTTCCTACTGCAACACACCACCTCCCCCTTACGAGCAGGTGGTGAAATCCTCCACGTGAGGACTCTGGCTCTCTGACCTGACTGTGTGAGAAGAAGGTGCCATTGCAAAATGACCGAGATGGAGGGCATCTGCCCTTTTGAACACTTGCTAGTTCTCCAAGTCCTCTCTCCCTCCCTTCCCTGCACCTTTCCTCATTAAAGTTACTTGCAAAGGGGTGATTTTTAAAATTTTTTTCTTTTTTTTTCTTTTTTTAGTAGAAGTGGATTTTTTTCTTTGTCTTCAAAATGAGAGAAGTTGTCTTTGTAATGCTTTTAATGGAAACCTATATTTAAAACCTGTATGTCTTTCTCTTTATTTATTGTTTGTTTCAATCATGGATTTAATTGCGTTGTGGCAGGCTACTGATAGCAGTTCTTTATGCAACCCCAGAGTGATGTGCACTCTCCTAAAATCCCATAGCAGAAATGCCCTCATCTAAGGGATATGGCGGAGAAAGAGGGTAGAAGTAGAAGCAGCAATGCTTTTGCCAGAAATGGTGGCCACCATCTTTTCCATTTATGTTTTTCTGGTAAAACTTGGTTCTGATGCACAACAGAGAGATGCTGTGATAGAAGCCCGTGAGTGACTGGAGCACCAGCGTTGGTCGAGTCATGGCAGGGGCTTTGCCAAGTGCCCTAGAAGAGAGGGTATCATAACTTTAAATGATGTATCTAAAAGCAAAGGACCAGGACTTAAGTGTTTCCTGGCCAGCACCTGGACTCTGCCCGTGTGATCAGCATCCTGGCTCTCCTTGTTTTGCCAGCAGTGAGATTGTATGAAACAGCTGATGACCTAAATGTCAGTAGTGAGAAGGAGGTGTTATAACCTCAGAGCTACTTGTGCTTGTTCCTCTTGACAGAGCAGTTAGAAACACTGAAATACATAGGTAAGTTTTCTTCCCTAAATTGGAAAATAGTTACAGTAAGAAGGAATGGGAGCACACTTCCACGTTTGTTCCCTTTGACATTGATGGGAGTTTTGTCCCTGAGAAGTAGTAGTTTTGATAACGGTCTTACTGCTGCCACAAAGAGTACCAAGAAGAGCTGTCCTCTCCAGGTGATGGACTTGTAAAACTGCTCTATTCTCTAGGCCAGACAAATAAATAACTTTTTGGGACTGCTTGAGAGCAGGTCCTTGACCTGATATGCAGATGGCTTGGCTTTCAACAACTCTTAGCTCTTCATGCATTTTGCTGTGAGTGGCCCCACGTTTCCCAGTTCACTGTCTCATGCTTGTGGCTGACTGAGCGCCCACAAGTCAACACCTTCAAAGAAACACAGAGCCCCTTTCCCTGTGAGGGCTCTCACACCCATCTGTGTCTAGCAAAAATGTGAAGCTACTCTGAGACATGACTACATACTATTGGGACCTTCGTCCTTCGAGCGTATTCAGAGCCATGTCGCTAAGGAGTGACAAAAAGAAGATGCCATCACCTTCTACTGCTGAAGGACCCGAAGAAACAGTATAGCTGAGGGCTGAGTCCAATATGGTACTTTGGGTACCGGGGGTGTACTTCCTACCAATACACCAACTGCTCCTGTGTCACTCCAGCAAGGGCACAGAGGTCACCGAGGTGGTTTGGAGTAATCTGAAGACCTGTGTTGCACAGGGAACCAAAGCTTTGTTGCGCTGTTAATGCGTGCCAGTGGCTTGCGAGAACTTGTTTCTAGACGGCAAGCTGGATTTGCAGAACTGGCAGAAAAGAGCATCCCTTTTATTATGAACATGAGTATCTTCGAGGGTCCCTGTTTCTAAAAGCTGCTAGTGGAATTAGTAGTCATCTGGAGCAGAGTTAGCTTTTGAGGAGCTCATCCCCGCAGACCTGGCTTGAGTGAAACTGTAACTAAGGCTTTCCTTTTCTGCGCGTTATAATAAGGGACAAAGCAAAGCACTTCTGTCTGTGCAGCGTAGGCTCGAAGGACACTTAGGATAACAAAAAAGTATGGTTTATATAGGTCCATCTGCATACCACAACTGTATATATGTTCTAAATTAGCGTTCGCTTGAAGTTTAAAGCTGCGTATGTCACTGAATGTGGTTGTGTATAAGCATTTTTTAAAAAGCGAATCTAACCTTTCTTTTTCTGTCAATAGAAATGACAACAGACCTCACGTTAGTAGGTACATGGTGTTAAGTCCTTTTATATTATGAAATGTATGTACAACAGCTGGCATTTTCCTGGTCACATCGAGTAGCCGCCTTTTATAGTGAATCCTTACGCTGTACTTTGAAATTCAACTTCTGGTGAAGTTTTCCTGAAATCTGGCTGGTTTGTTTGCCTGTGCTGGTGGATGACTCTACCTCTTCTACCACATGCACCCCTCAGCTAGCAAACTTACTTGGTCATCTCTTGAAAACACAGCACCGGTGTGGGCATCCATAAGAATGACTTCCAAACTGTTTACATGCCTTTCCTCTTGTTGCCTCACTTTTGGAATTTTTTAGGTTTTCTTTTCTTTTTTTCCCCTCTTAGTTTAAAAAAAAAAAAAAAGTAGGGAGAAAGAAAGGAGAAGCCCTGTAACTTTTGGTAGGGTGATACCAACAATACGAAGTTGACTGGGAGCGTACGTTGCATGTTTGGCAAGGTTGAGTTGGTGGGTTGGAGGATGGATGGAGCAGAAGTAGGTCTGTCTACAGTCTTGGGGGCTTCTGTTGCTCATAAAACTTGTGCAGGCTTTCTTCTGAAATGCATTTTATTAAAGTAAGATTGGATGTTGCTGTACCTCTAGCCCTCTTCATTGCTCTTTCCTGAGCTGCACGTTTAAAGTTCTTTATATTATAGAATCATAGAATGGTTTAGGTTGGAAAGGACCTTGAAGATCATCGAGTTCCAACCTCCCTGCTATGGTAGAGGTATGAGTGTGACCTCCTGTATGCAGAAGGAGGAGAGAAGGCAGGGCTAATACCACTGAGAGGTTGGTACTCAACAGCATTTTAGCAAGCCAGATGTGAAAAACGGGTTGCAGGTGCACCACCGGAAAGGACAGGGTTACTTCTCACCAGCGGGCAGTGATGGCATGTCAGGTGTGCAGTCCCACAGGTGAAAGAAAACATCATCTTCCAGGAGGATTCTACTTGGCAGGAGTGATGCCCTTGGAGCTGCCAGCTGCTGCAGCTTTGCTAATGTGAATGTCCCTGTGGTGTGTTGATGCTTTATCTGTTGGGATTCCCGTGTCAGGTTCTCTAGGTGCCGCTACTGTGTCCTCTCTAACAGAACAGAGATTTTGGTGCCTCACTGATGAGGCAGGGTGGTGTTTTGACTGCAAAATAAGGTTGGTGCTGGTGGCGGGGAGCCCTGGGGATGTGTGGGGCACTCCCCTGCCACTTCCTGGGGGCACCAGAGCAGGCTATGGGGCAGACTCCTCGCCTGCCTTTGAGATCTCGCCATCTACATCAGGAAGTTGATTTAATGCGTTGGGAGGATCAGTCTCCTGGTTCTTGCAGAGGTGTTTGATACAGGGGGTTTAAATGCCTTGAACACTGCTTGGGCAAAATGGATATGCTTAAGATGAGCCACTGGGCCTGGGGGGGAGCCAGGAACATAAATGATACCCCCTTGAGGTCCTTTCTTCAGTTCTGCGTCCTCAAAATGTGTCTGATGTACCTGTAAGAAGGCAGTGATTGGGAGGAACGTGCCTAGGCAGGTAAGGAAACCTTTGAGGTCTCTGCTGCTGTGTCCCTGGCAGAAATGGGAATGAGAAGGGGGTCAGTCCATTTCTGCCAAAATGAAATCTCTAGTTACACCGCTTGGAGAGAAAAGGTGCTCCCTTTGACTCGTGGTACACCTTGTCCATAGCTCTGGTGTGGCCAGTCCTTTGTACATCCAAGGTTGCAGCCCAGGCTGCACTGTGGGATGGGGAGGGAAGCTGCTCTTTCTGTGGCTGGGCACTTGGTTTTCAGCGAGGTTTCGCTGTCAGTCTTGTCTCAACAAAGAACAGCAAAGGTTACGGATAACTGGATGTGTTCTGCGCTTTCCTCCTTGGGGATCATGCAGGGAGGGAATTAGCGGAGGTCTTTAGAGACTTTTAAGGACCCCGTGATCCTTGTGTGCAGCTTGTGCCGCCACGTATGCTGTCATCAAATTTGTCTCTGAAGGGCTATTAAAGGCTGTATTCCTGAGACTGTACCTCTCAACAGGGAGGCAGCCATCTCCTCATGCCGCAAACCTTCCTGACCTCAGGTGTTTTCAGGGCCATGGACCTAGCCGCATTTCCGAGAAGGTTCCAACTGCTAGTTCTTCCACCATCGCTGGTGGGACCAAAAAGCCCTGTTTGCTGCCCTGCCTATCAGCTGGCAGCAGGTTTCTCGCCTGTAGGTATCTGCATGTGACCAACACCCCATCCACCCTTCCTCCTTCAGCCAGCGCTACCTTACCTTCATTCCACCAGCCATGTGTCTGCAAGGCCAGGGTTGGTGCAGGGTGTGAACTCTGCTGTGGTGGAGGGAATAGTTTATTTCTCAAGTGTTTTTCAGGTGATTAATTGGACCAGTCTGTCCAGGGGTACTGGAACACCCTGAGATTTGGTTTGGATTGAGTAAAAATCTGTTGGCTGCCCGATGACTGCTAAGGCTTAATGCTTGGGACAGACGTAGCCCAGCTCCTCCACGCCCTAGAAAAGCACCTCTTTGGCAGAATAGACCTTCTTAAATGTTGGTTGAGGGGGCAAGCCGAGGGTGAGGAGGGCAGGTAGGCTCTGCCTGCCTCCCCTCGCCTCCGTCGTGTGTGTGAACCACCCTGCCACTGGCCGCAGACGCGAAACCCTGGCAGCAGGGGATGGATGCGGGCAGTGCCAGGCAGCTGGTCATGAGGTGCTGGGCAAACGCCATGTGGACTGGGAGGCGCGCAAATGCTCAGCGTGGTGGGTTTGGGCAGAAAATCAATCCCAACGGCTGTCCTCGACTCCTGCGGCCCCAACTTGTGTGGTAGCAGTGGAGGGCTGGCAGAGCTGCTGGTGCAAAGGGTGGGTGCTGAACCAGGGAGATTTGGGGGGGAGGGGAGGGGATGTGGGTGACCTGGTGGGTGGCAGATGGGTGGGTGTGACTGAGCCCCAACAAAGGGACAGAAATGATCCAGCTTCCAACAGGAAAGGCCTGAAGTGGCACGGCCTGAAGTCTTGCTGGTTAGCATAGTGCGTGATGCTCTGCGTCTGTGGGCAGCTCCAGGGGGTTATGCAGATGTTGGTTATCGGCCTGGGTTTGCTGGTGGGTTGCTGTGGTTTGAGAGGGGAGGAGAGGAAGAATGCTCTTGTAATACCATCTTCTAACTAGCTACAGTTCGGAGCAAGCAGGGGTGCAGAGCGA